GCCAAGAATCTGAAAATGTAATTAGGTCATATTGACCAAATTTGACTTAATCCTCATTTCGATATGATGGCTCACATTTTTTTTTACATAAAAACAATAATGATGGGTTTCTTTAATCAGTTTTCCTAATTTGAGCATCATAAAGTAAGTAAAGGGAGGCAAGGCAGCAGGCGGTGTGCAAACCTATAAGGAGAACTAGTTTCATTTTGTTTTTAGTACATGAGAGCAAACAGGAGCTGATGATTTGATCCAGTAATCTGGTTTGTGTCTTTAAAAATGCATCAACGTGTTAAAAAAGTGGCGTTAAACAAAACGTCTGCACATTAAATCCACTTTTATTTCTAAGTAAATGTCATCGGCAGCTGCTCTCACTTTATTTGGTGTCAAAAAGGCAAAAGGCTGAAAGCAGCATGGAGCCGGTGAGTTGTGGTGAGTTGTGTTGTTCAGTGTGAACCACGTCACTCATCTGGCCTTCTCGAGCGCACCTGCTCGCTTCTGGCAGGCGTTCATTAATTCATTGGGTTTTAGCTGAGCTTACACTGCATCTGAGGACAACAACATGTTTACCTTACAGCAGGAGCTGCTCTGCGTCTGTGAGAAACAACAATTATTTTACTTTCTAATTTTCATTTAGCTTCTATGTTTAGATTTGTTGTTATCTGTGTTTACAAACCGGTCTTACAGCCAGGTTTTCCCTTAATTACATGAAATCCTTTTGCATTATTATATATTTTATATAGTTTACAGTTAAAGGCTTATAAAACAAAAACAACACGACAGCAGAACGAATTATTGATTTATTACAAATGTATCTCATTTCTTAAAACCTCTTATTTTCCATAAATATTTGATCATCCATGTATTTTTTAATTTTCATACTCCAATTTGTTGGGTTTTTTAGTCTTTTTGTCAAACCTAAGGAGATAAGAATCCATCTGTAACTTCGATAACCTCCACGGTTTTTGTCTTATTGCTTGTAATGAGCTTTTTTCCCAGCACCTTGTTCCATCCTGTGACTGGTTTTGCAACACATTTTCATTTTGTTACATCGCTCCCTTAGAGCAGAATCACGTTTATGTTTTTTTAAATATTCAGCAGTGAGGGTGTGTTTCTTTGCTGCAGCTTTTCTAAAATTAAAATATTACTTGTACGCTTAAACCCCAAACCTGAAACAAGTGTTAAACTACAACTGAGAACAACTTGATTGAAATCATTTTGAGATGTAATGATTTAATTTTAGAGGCATTTGTGATTGTGTTTAACAAACCAGAACAACGTATGTCCTTTTCTTGTGTTTAATTGTTATATTTGATTGAAAATACAGAAACAATTTGTGAACTTGGAGCCTTTTTCAGAGAAACGACTTWTTTTAAAAATAATTAAATTTTGATATCAAACTGACTTTGAGCCTTTTTGCAGCGTAATTATTCTTCTTTGTGCTTCACACCATTTTATTTAATAAAAACGATTATAAAAGGAACATTTTCTGTAATTTTCTACTTTAAATGCATAAAAATGACTCCAGATAATACTCCTCTACGTTTGAATCAGTGAGTTTATGAGCGTAACGCAGATCGACTGGTTTTCTCCCGTTTTAAAAAATCAGAAATCGTTCAGATCTGGCTCTGCCTGCGCTGCCGTGCATCGTCTGCATCTTCACCGCGTGTGTGCAGCCGATCAGCGAGCGAGCCGAGTGCCTCCAGCTATGGAAACATGAGAGTGAGACGCCCTCCCTACAGGCGGATCGGGCTCAAAGGCCCACAGTTAATCTACAGCATCAATACCGTCAAAGTAAATGCTCCCAAGGCTGCACAAACAAGCACTTTCATGTACTCTGCCTCCAAGTACACACACTACAAATACTCACACACACGCCTTCACCTTAAAGACACTTTTATGGGTAAATGGGACACAGGTTAACAGCTGTGAAGTGGGTTAGTAGGTGGTGCCGGAGGTTCTGTTTGCGTACGTAGCAGTAGTTTAAAGAGGTACAGGTTTCTGATCCAGACAAGCTTCCTGCTTCCTTATAGAAAGAAGGTTCTGAGTTCTGACCCTCAGCTCTGTCGGCTCTTTGAGTCTCTTCTTAGCATTTAAATTTATTACCTTCAAATATCCAATTAACATTTGTTGTCAATGGTAAGACTTTAGAGGTAATTAAGATTACCTCTTAAGGTAATAAAGCATTTTGAACCAGTTTAAAGGAACAAAGTACTCTAATTCAAAGAATAAAATTGGAATCTTGTGACTAAAGTTGAAACTTCTGGAACAATTTATAAGCTTAAGAGAATGGTAAGAATGCAGCAAAGTGTGTGTCCATTTAGAAGGACCAATATTGTTGTTGTATATAGGGGTCGACCGATACATCGGCCAGCCGATATTTTGGGCCGATATTTGGGTTTTTTCCTTGTATCGGTATCGGCCGATACACTGTCCGTTCGGCCGATCTGTTCTTTGGGTCACGCGAGCGCATGTGTCCGCCCCTTCCCCYGGAGASAGCGCAGCAGCTAATGTTGTGAGACAGAGTGCTAACAACAACAAGGGCGAGTTATGAACTGTAAATGTGTTTTAACTGTCTAATTTAACTGTTTCTACCCTCTGTGTCAGAATATGAGGGAAGAGAGAACAGCTGTGTTTAAGTTTCTTTTCCAGACGGGATGAAGACCCCGTTCTGGTGAGACCCACCTGGATGCAGGTTCCAGTGAGTTCTCGACACAGGCTGCAGGACAGAGCCCAGCGGCTGGCAGGGATGTGGGACACCTTGGTAATGGGCTCCATCTTCTCTGGACAGCCTATGCTCACCTGCAGAAACCAAACAACAAGAACAGTTTGAGAGATATTTTCTGACACTTTGTAATTGGTTTTAAACTGAATCAACATTTAGTTTTAGTGTTCTGACTCCCTTGTTTACTACGACATCAAAACGTTCAACTAAGACCTTTATAGCTTTTTTGTGCTTGATTCAGACTTCCAGTTTGAATGATAGCTTACAGTTTGTTAAAAATACTGAATGTAGGAAGTAAACAGATGTGAATCAGATASTTAAAGCTGGGATTTTAACTGTGCAGAAGATGTCGATGTTATTTTTGTTTTTTGAACAGTAACCTGTCATCCTTTTAGAGCCAAGAATCCAGATATGAGCAATCAAACTAAACTGTCCTTAGAGCTGAAGAGGGGACACGTGCTCCTCAGAAAGACCTTTACAGTCGAACCCAGAGGAACTCTCTGCCTCCCTCTGAGGGTCCTCTCAGAGCAGCTTTGGTTCTGGACCTTCATTCACTGAACAGCTATCAAGTGTCGACTGGTGCCAGCTGCCCGGGCTCAACGGAGCTGAGAGCACTTCTCACCAAAGTGCCGTTTCTTTCCTCCACATCCGACTTCTTTCCTAAAATCATTCCACTTCTTTTCATTTCTCCTCGGATTGGAGGCGGAGTCTACCTCGTCTGAGAGAACTGATTTCCGCAGGTCACCCCCCAGCCTGTCCCCTCTTTATCCAGAACCGTCTGGTTGAGGARCAGATCTTCAGCTTCTGATTAAACTGATCAAATCTTTTGTACAGAACTCTCCTGATAAGGGCAGAAAAACGTTCCGGTTCACCAACGATGTGCTTCATTGCTAAGGTGGTTGTCTGCCACGTTCCAGCTTTTAGAGTTTGTTCCCCACAGCTCAAATCAATTGCATCACTCTTTTGTGTGTGTCTTAGTGAGTGTGTGTGTGTGAGAGCACGTGCAGGCCTTTAACACGCTCATTTGCTGATTTCTTCCAGCTCCAATTACTTCACGTTTCAAAGCTGATGGATGAAAAACTGATAAATTATGAAATCTCTTCATCAGAGAGTTGAATACAAATGTCTTTTAAAAAGAGGGACTCTGCATGTTTGAGTGTCTCTTTGTCATTTATGGACAGATTTCTCAACGGGGGAGAAAAGCAGAGGGRAAAAAAACCTCAGCTCAGAGAGAGGAAGTGCTTTGTTTAAAGGCTGGATCATCTGATTTTAGACACATTCATCATTATGCAACCATTTCATTAATTATTTTAATGAACTGTTTGTGTGTGTCTGTTAGCAAAATGTCTCATGAGACACTGGACAGATTTGGTGGAAAGGGTTGTGACGTTACATGTATCCGCATCAAATCATTCATTACAGTGCTTTAGGTTCAATATACACTATGTATCAAACAATACAGATGTTTAAAATTTATTTTATTAACTTCTGAAGATGCTCTGTGTTGAAGGATCAGTGGATCTGTGTTCGACTACTCCAGCTAGGCTGCACTGTCGAGTGCAGATCCACTGCTGTTTCAGCAACATTTAATTTAAAAACTGTAATTTTGAGTTTCAACAYATGTTCATCATCAATTTCAATAAATTACTAGTTAAGGGCATAGAAACTTGTCTTTTCTTGTAACAAAAAATACTAAGACTAAAGTATCGAATTAAACTGTGAATTTTCTGTATCATTGCACCATGCAACGATACAGAAAATTCACAGTTCATACGATGTATATCCATAGACTTAAATATAAATATCAGTAGACTGAGCCCCGCCCATCCTGTCCACTGGTAGTGTCTGTGATATCA